GGGGGAGAAGGGTTAAAGGTCATTGCCCAGGGACGGGCGCTCCTCCTTCCTCAGCTGGGCGCATCCCCCACCTGCCCCACGCCTCCCAGAGCCCCCGAGTGTCTGGAGGTCCAGGGCTGCCTCCCATGGCCCCCTCCCGGGCCTGGAGGGGGAGGTCGCGGAAGGGGCCTGTGCCGGGCAGGGGGAGAGCGGATCCGAGGGAGGGGCGGGTGCAGTGGGGAGAAGCCGGTTGGTTCCACGTGCACTGCGGTGCTAGTGAAGGGGTGAGGAGGGGAAGACGAGACTGCGGGAGGGGAGGATGGGCAGTGGGGTTCTGGGGACTCCCAAGTAAAGGCTGCTGAGGAGGAGGGGAGGTGAATGCGGATCAGCTCAGCCTGCCAAGAGTCTAGAGGAAAATGGGAGCTCAGAGAAGGGCGCCCGAGGTCTGCTGCGAGGGAATCTGGAGGGGCTAAGGGGCTGAAGGAGAATCAAAGTGGGGGGATGCCAGGCTCCGGCTCCAGTCCCAGAATGGCTGCCCAGGCCTGGGCTCCCCCCTCAGCCCCACAGTCACCACTGCAGCCAATGGGGGGGCCGGTGCTGCATCAGGGGCGGGGCCACCATCTCCATGGCAACAAGAAGCTACAGGCTGGGGGGGGCGACCGGAAGAACTGCCTGTTAACCCACTAGGCTCCAGAATAGAACAGTGAAAGCCACACTACATTTCATGCCTGCTTCTAGATTGCATTTTGCCTCAGAGCCAGTCCTTCCCTGCTCCTTTTATAAAGCAAACTCGAAACTGCACACACAAGTCTGGATCCCGGGAACATGTGTAGAGCACGAAAACACACACTCAACAGTGGGGACCCGTGTATGTCACAGCCGCAATATGAGGAATAACAGGGAGCTGTGTGCTTTGGAGACATACAGACAGCCTTGAGCACGGGGGAGGGGGGGCGCGCACGAGGGACCCACATTGAGAACGCAGGTCCACACATCCCACATGCTTACACATATGTGAGCACTGCAACAGGGAGGGGTATACATACTTGACCTCAGACAGCCACATGAGAACTGCTGGTGTGGGCTCTGTCGTGTGGCTGATACACTACATAAATCTATGACAATTCAGGCCCCAGAGACACATGCTCAAGTATACTGCTCCCATGTGTCATTCATCCCTGCACCATGCACACACCATGCTCTCAGTCAGATGAAGAAGCACCGTGCCCCTAAGCACAAGCACTCATAATCCAGGCTTCCAGAACTACCACACCACTCACTGTCTTTGGGCAGCCCCTCCCATCCCCGCCCCGAGCTTTCTCCTAGCTCTTCCATGACTCTAACCGCCAGCATCTGTGATGGCTAACAGAAAAACAGAACAAACAAAACAAAAAATGAGGAGCAAATGTGTTAATTAGCCTTCTGTCACACAGCAAGCAATGCACCCCGAGTCCCAGCGGGCCTCCCTCTTCGTCCATTCCGCTCGCTGCCTGTGTTTCTCAGGTACAGCAGCCTTTACTCTCATTCCAGGGAACCCAGCTCAGCCATAATTTTCACACACAAGCATCTCTAATAAAGGCATAAACGCTGTTAAGTTTAAATCCACTGAAATTTTCTTTTGGAACTAAAAGCATTCACTGAGGGAGAAAGAACCTGCTAATTGCTTTGCTTAGTTCCTTGAAGCAACACACATGATACTAGGAACTCAGAAATAAGTCACAGGTGCATGGAGGCCACACATATGTGCTCACAAGGACTCTAACCCAAGGAAGAGAAATGCAAAGCACAGAGAAAAAGGGGCAGAGTGACAGAAACACGGGATATCCTGTTGTCGGTGCTGCCAGCAGTAACATGTACGCAGACCAGCACACAACCATGTACACACAGCAAGCCTGAAAAGCATACACCGCCATGGTGGGTCTCTATGTCCCATCCCTGCACGATATATACACTCATGCACACACATAACAGCCACCTACACAGACCCGTAACACAGGCATTGTGCACACACCCACACAGTACACACCCTGTATACACACACAGTTGCAAGCAAGCCTTCAAGCACACGCGCGCGCGCGCGCGCGCGCGCGCACACACACACACACACACCCGAGGGCTTGGACTCCGCCTCTCCAATGTCTCTAATCTTGCCATCACCCACAAACATTTCTCCTACCCTCCAATCCCCCAATCCCTACCCTTCCCTGTAGTCTTTCCTCACCATACTCAGCTGATGGCTCTGAGAGGGAACTAGGGGGAAAGGCAGCCAGAGAAAGAAGAGGAGCAGGGCTGGAGAGGGAGCAGAGTCCCGGTGGAGACAGGCCTCACTGGGAACCAGCTTCTATGGCTGGATGGACTCCTGCAATGAAACCAAGTCCGACCCTTCCAGACCTGTGCCCACCTAGGCCCTTCTGCATCTGTCTCTCCACCCACCCTGTCAGACTGCTTCACAGAAAGGCCTGGCCCCTCATCTGCCTCCCCACTTCTCCACACTAAACCCACCTCTTTCCTGTCCATCCTCAAGGCATTCATTGGTTCATTCTTTCTTCCTGGCTCTCTGCTCTCCTTTCTGACCACTCTCTCATCCCTACTTTCCCCCTTCACCCCACTCCTGCCCTTCAAGCTTTTCTGTGCCTATCTAGGGACCAGGCAGAGGCTCGCACCTGCCTAGCCCAAAGGTGTTTCCTGCAGTCAGACTACAAGGAACCACTCACACACTTTGTCCCCACCACTGGCACACCACCCACATCCAGACACGCCCTGAACACCCATGCCGGGACTGACACAGATACTCAGGCCAGTGTTGGAACACACATGCAAAGACACACACTTGCCACCAGGGACACTGAAAATTCTGTTCATTCGGCCAGCCACACATTCCTACACACTGGCTTCAACCAGGGACATGCACGCTCAGGGTCAGAGGTGACACGCATCAGTATGGCCAGAACCTGCCCCATAACCCGGCGGCTACAGGGCATACCTGCACAGTGCTGGTTACACGTGTGCAAGGGGAACTGGGCCCCGTGTGCACATGGCACCAACACACAGGGACACAAGCACTGTCACGATCACACACGCAAACACCAGCCCCTCCAGCAGGGCACCAGACCCCCTCACACCCACGCGTGCTCACAACCCCGCTGCCCCCACGAAGATGCCAAGACCCCCCTCCCGACCTCTGCTACCCCTCTCCAGTTACCATAACTCCCCCCACTCGGAAG